ATAAAAATTTAGCTCAGTCCAAACATTAATTTTAGCCCAACTAACTTCATTTCCAACCCAAGCGAATGTTCAATTTTTCAAATAGTTTAAAACTCTACAACAATTACATATTTATTTTATTCATAACACAAATAACTTATTACCAAATTAGATATTTTATTTTACACTTCATATATTACTTATTTATACTTGTGAGTTAAAAATTTATTTATTTTGACCAAGAAATTGATGTTTTTATCAAATTAAGTAATATGCTATATATATTTAATTTTATTAGTTAAAAATATATTTGTTAGAACTTTGTTATAGGTGTTCAAAATATATTGTGATCCACATTATTATAAGTGTCATAAATTTAATCTTTTAAAATAAATTTTGTGTGGTATAAAACATCTTTTATGGTACAAGTTCATTGGGAAAAAAAAAATTTAGCCCACCCTAACATATCTTTCTTGCTCCGCCCCCGGATATACTTTTATTTACTAGTCAGAGTTGAACGTGCCATGTAGTTATTCTGAAAATGCTTTATAAGTGTTGTAAAAGTAATATTTGACTCTCAAGTTACCTTTTTGATCGAAATATGAGAGAAATGCAAGTCCCTAAAAATAAATTTTAATTATTATACATGCATTTAAATACTAAAATTCATACTTAAGCGTGAATATTAGAATTACAACTATATGTATTAATGAAAATGAATGACAAATATAATACATGAATTAAAGTGAAGGTTAATTAATTTAAAATTAATACCAAACAATTTATACGTAACAATGAATGTTAAATCATTTATATTAAATGAATATAAATTAATTTTCAATTAAGAGTGTATTTGATGAATATTATTGAGAAAAGAATATATTTTAAATAGTGATATGATAGGAAATATGTTCTTAAAATATTATTTTATTGAAAAATGTGTGGTTCAAAATAAGTTTTAAAAGAATGTATTTTGAAAGAATGTGTACCAAGCAGAGACTAAGTGAAATTGGATATTAATTAACATACATAAATGTGAATAATGAATTGCATTTTTTAATGTGATATTAATTAAGTTAATGTGATATTAATTAATTTAGAATTAATTATAGGGACATGAATGCGAAATTCTAATTAATATTAATGAAATGAATGTGAATGTTAATGTTAATTAATTGAGAATCAATTATAATATTTATTATAGTTTGTAATTAAAATACATATTGAAAAACAATGATAAGATATTATTGAAATAATTGAATTCTAGAATGACTATACTCGTTCAAAAAAATGATTCTCAGTTGATGTGATTTTTAGTATATTATAGATATTAGAGTTTCTGTGACAAGAAAAATAAGGAATATAAAGTGAAATAAAATTCAAAGTGAGTTTGGTACGTATAGGATCAATCGTACTATATCTATAAATGAATCTCTAAGAATTAGTTAACACAATACTCGTGTTAATTAATATTTTGAAGCAGGATGGAAAATAAATTATAATAAAAAATTCGTATAAGTCGTAAAAAGTGTAGAATAGGTTATGGTGGCGACACGACTAACCCAACATGGACATTTCTTATAAATCGAGCTTGACCCACATTTCCTTGACGTGCTTGACCTAAATTACAAGCCGTAATGACCCATTTTACACGTATAATAACAACTAAAAGTCTAAAATCAGGGGACTTTAAATGGATGACCAAAATGGAGCCAATGTGTCCCTGTCTAGCTTACAAATTCCGATAAAAGAACCAAATTCTTGAATGCCGTATGACATGAGACGCTTTGACACTTTCTAGGTTACAAATTAAGAAGAAAGAACCAAATTCTTGAATGCCGTATGACATTAGACGCTTTGACACTTTCTAGGTTACAAATTAAGATGAAAGAACCAAATTCTTGAATGCCGTATGACATCGGACACTTCGATACAAGAATTGATAAAGAGAGGAGAACGAAGATTATCATAATTGAGATATTCTCCTACAATTATTCCACTCTACTTTACCTAATAACATTGTAAGATAGAGATATCTTATCAATTATTTACTTTTTGTTGGTTCAATAGATATTTTCTTAATCAATAATCTTATCGTAAATTTCAAAATAACTTATGCGACAAGTCGTAATTAATGCACTGTCTATGTATAAGAAATTTCTCTCAAATTTGACGACTTAATTAATTTTATTTTTGATTACATGGTTCAATATTATCATCCACACTAGATGCTAATCAATATTTTTATGTGACAAAAGTGTAAGGCTACATGTTTATCCTTGAGCCAATAAATTTCTTAGGATGCCTTCATTTTTGTGGTGCCCACATAACTTTGAAGTAATTTTGTAGAATTAGGTTCTGTTCTAGAACTCACTCTTTGAAACGGAAATTAAAATAAAAATTTTAATTACGTACCTCAGCCCCCGTTTGATCTACATTATTATTTCATTAAAATGAAAAATATGACCGTTATCCATCACATCAACATTTAAATTCAAATTTTCTATCTCTTATGTGGGCTCCAATAATGGCTATATTTCTCATTCTCATTCTANTTTAATAGTTAATTTGTATTATTAGAATACAAGAAAAATCTCGGCGCTAGATATTTGTAACTTGTAATAATCTTATCCAAGAGAACCTAAATTATTGCACAGTATGTGATTAGTGTTGATCACATCAATGGATTAGTAATTACACACTCAAACTATTGGTTTGGTCCCAATAATAATTGCTTTTCTGATGGTGCTTGTTTGATAAATTTTGAAATATTTAAATAAATAATATTTTTCGTCAGTCGAAATTCTTAAATAAATAGTTCTTTTATAAGTCAAGAAAAAACAAATTATTTATTTTCACACTAAGATAATGATTATTTTGAGAAACATATTTGAAGGGTTTTGTTAATTTTTTTTTTTTTTTTTTGAAAATGTTAATAAAATAATACTTTGGAATTGCAATTGTTGCGCGTGCGAATATGACAATGACAAAATGTCAGGATATGGTTCCAATCCATTGAGGAGATTTTGACTTTTAACTTTATTTTATTTGTTCTTGCACCAAATATCTAGGCTTTTACTGTGAGAAATCTCTTTTCCTATTTGTATTCATTTTCTACCATTTTATTTTTTATAAAGAAAAATGCCTAATAAAGCAAGACAATTCTCCTTAAAGAACTCATAGAAACCATCTTGTAATTTTAGAAGAAGGGATGCTCCTCGCGGAGGGATCAGGTCTGGACGACTGTTTACAAAAATGTAAATATATATTTTTTGTAAAATTGTAAGATCGTTTATGGAGTTGATATCGGTTAAATAAATATAAGTTTAATTTAATTTTGAATGATTAGATTTTAGAAGTTCATTCACAACCCTAAGGATAAGCACATGGACCTAAGCTTAGCTCACCACATTTATGTCTTATAATCAATCTCAAAGAAGAAATTAGCTTTTTAGAGCACTCTATCTCTCTTTTTATTTATTTTCTTTTCTTTTGGAAAAAAACGAAGAGATTTGCTTTAATGGTCATATCTTTAAGATATGGATCATACTACAAGACAAAAATGTTTTTTGTTCGGTTCTTTTTTTTTTTTTTTTTTTTAATCCACTTAGGTTACAGTATGAACATCACAAGACAAATGAAAATTACTATCACATCAATTTGATGCATATCATTTTTTTATATTATCTCCAAGTAAATAGTTTTCTTTTATTTTGAGAGGATTTGGATTCAAGTACATCATATATTATCTCAAGTACCATAAAACCCTCAATCAGTAAAAGATCATATTCCTACTTCAAACCTCAAATGTTACATTCAGAGGATGCAATGCAATTAGTGGAGGTCAAGTTCAAGAATTCTTCCACCTTATTCATTTGACAAGTGTGCAGATTTTGACACATGACAACTCTTTAATTTAATTTTTACCATCTAGTGATGTATACAATATTTATTTTCCCCACAACTAATCTGTTTCATTACTCATAAACAACATTAATTACCACCTACCACACTCCAATTCATATATGTTCTCCAGATTTGTCTGTTATTTTCTCTCTCACCAAAATTTTAATTTTGATGTAACAACAAATGGAACATCTGCTTAAAAAAAAAAAACCAGTTTAGATCTGAACTCGATCTAACACCCTCAACTACAACAACCCTAGAAATTCAACCTGAATTTTCCATAAACAAATGGTTGACATTATTGGGAAAGGCCTTTTGTCTAGTTGTTATCACCCCCCTATCGTTATACACCGCCTACTACTATACCCTACGCTTACCCTACCCCACCACTCCCAACCTCTAAGACAAACCAAACCCCAACTTGCATTAAATCCCAAAATTGAAATCTTAATCACCTTAAATATCAAATTCTCTCTCCCAAGAAAATCAAAGAATGTTTTTGAGCTTAACTAAGGAACCCTAACCAGAGATTTGGGTTTTCTTGAGAACATACTCCATCAATGGACTTATACGCCAACCCCACCACAACCAAAAGTCCAGATGACTCTGAATTTGATACCCCACCACAAACTCAACCCATTGAACCCTTCTTATCCTTCACCAACGGCGCAATCAAGAAGAACCACCACCGCCAACACCACTCACCACTGCCTGTGGGGGTGGTGACATACAAAGAATGTTTGAAGAACCATGCTGCCAGATTGGGTGGACATGCCATGGATGGTTGTGGAGAGTTCATGCCTTCCGCTTCCGCCACCACCGCAGATCCCACCTCCCTAAAATGCGCTGCATGTGGCTGCCATCGCAATTTCCACCGCCGTGAGCCTAATGATCCCTCCCCCACCAGTATAATCCCTCCTCTATTTGATTTCCGCTACCCACCTCCACCTAGACGACCTTCATCTTCCCCCTCCCCACCACCACAACCAACCAACATGTTATTGGCCCTCAGTATGGCGGTTCCGGAAGACCACAACCACCAGGATCCGGCGATACCAACAGAATTCAAGACAGAGAACCAAAGTGGAAGAAAGAGATTCAGAACAAAATTCAGCCAGGAGCAGAAGGAAAAAATGCTCTCTTTTTCGGAAAAACTTGGGTGGAAAATGCAAAAATGTGATGAATCAACAGTTAAAGAATTCTGCAATGAAATAGGAGTTTCAAGGGGTGTACTCAAGGTGTGGATGCACAATAACAAGAGCACTTTTGCCAAAAAAGAGATTAACAATGGCAGAATCATTAGCTTTGAGAATAATGGGCTCAAAATCAATGGCGGAAGCAGCAGCAGCAACAATGAGAATAGTAATTATGTCAAAACTCATGTTTCAAATAACGGATCTTCTTCTTCTTCATATTGATGAGATAAGAGCAGCTAATTAATATCTTGTTCATGTTAATTGACTGTGTTAACATCCTAATGCAGGAGAAGAGCAAATAAAGGATCTAGATGCTTGAGGGTGAGAATTTTTGATTAAATTTCTTTGCTTATCCAAAATATAACTCGCTCCTTCTTCATCTCTAAGAATAAAGTTAATATAATTTAGTCTAGCTGGTTGAAAATATCTTCTCTTCTTCTTTATCGCTCAATCGAGCTCACGGATTCTTCTCGAAGAAATGTACTGAGTCGCAGCAATTAGGAATAAAGTAGCAATTCGATGTTGATGATATTCATATATGTATTTTATTTTGATTTTTTTTCCATTTTGTTTTCTTTTATTTTCTGCAAGAATATGCCAAAATGGTATCTAGATTTGGTGGTCTACAATTTTTTTGGGTGTGATTATGAATAGTTATAGCTTGGTTACTATAGCCCATGCTTGCTTGTTCAAATTTGGACATGTAGAATTTATTATGGGGTGCAATTTGTTGAAGCAAATGGCTGCAATTTTGTCTTGTTATATGTTATATCATCACTACGTACCTCTTAGGGAATTGTGTAAACCGGGCTTTAGCCCCATTTAGTTTATTTCAATTTTTAGTAAATTTTGATAAAAACAGATAAAATATGTGGTTGAAAATTTGATAAAAATTGTTGATTCCGTTGAAAATGAATTTTGAAGAAAAATAAATTTTAAAAAAATAGAGACCGAACATTAACTTAATGGGGGTATAATTGTGACACATGGCGTAGATCTTCATGGTTTATGTACACTTGTGCGGGGATATATAATTTTATTATGTATTGTGAATAAAATTTTTATTTCTTTTTTACTTCAGGATCTCGTGGGATTAGTCGAGGTGCGCACAAGTTGGCCCGAACATCCATGGTTATCAAAAAAAAAAAATTTAGTTCTTTTTTCTTCTTTGTTTCTTTCGAGTTAAGATGTCATTAGAGGGGAAAAGTTCGATTGAAATGTTGCATGTACTGATTCAAGAAAGTTTATAAAAGTTGTGGGTGACTTTTCAAGTATGTCGCCAAATATTGGGGCTCAACCCTAAAGAGGTGGAGGAAATTATTGAGTTAGGAGCGAGGAGAATGAATTCTAGGAAGACCGTAATGATACTTTTCTGATTAGTTCAAAGAATTAATTTGTGGTAAACTTTGTCATCATTCTTATCTAAGTTGATATATCTTATTAAGAGTAATCTCATTTGTACACTTTTTTATACATTAATTTTGATTCTCCTCTCACAAAAAAAATGTGGAGCCCATGATTTTTTAAATTGCGGACTCCCACCACCAAATAGTGTATATCAAGCATGACTCTCTTATTAATTATTCGTTCGAAGTAATAATAAATAAATAAAAAGTATATAAATAAGGTTTGATTAGGCAAAAGTGAGAGTTAGCACTTTCCTATCCTAAGTAGTGCAATCACCAAACCTAATCTTTCTTTATTCTTTTCCAATCATTAATTTTCTTTCTTACTTTTTAATAATCCTCGGAGTCCATTGGAAAGCTCCACAGGATCCCACCAGTGTGTGTTAAGACAGTTCTCTCCCTCCACTTCTCATATTCAATACTTAGCATCAAGAGTTTGAAGAAATGTCTTGAGGGTTAATCTGGTAATCTAATAGAAGGTGTCTTAAGTAGGAATTAATGGAATCAGACAGGGCATCTAATTAACTTTGTGACACCAAGAAATTTAATATATTATCTGATAAATCTGAACTTTTAAGGCAAGCAGAAACAGGGTTTTAGTTGGCTGATTATTAAAATTGAGCTTTCAACCTTACCGTATTTGGTAGGTTGATAAGTTGGCAAGTTTTGGCTTTCTTATTTTGTTGAGACAAAGCCTTCGTTTGTTTCTCATTTTTCATCTATAAAAATGAAAAATATGACCGTTATTCATCACATCAAACTATCAATTTTAAATTTGTATCTCTTGTGTGGGGCCCAATAATAACTATATTTTTTATTCTCATTCTATAATAATGAGAATCAAACGAGCCCAATTGACAAGAAATAATAATTTTGTTGAATTTAAGAAATATCATTGTAGCGTGTTTTAGAAAAATTTCTTTCCGTCGATAATTTTGATTCCACTTTATAACCCTTTTATATTCTTTAGTGTTCTTCAAGACTCAATACTACAAGAATTTCATGCGTGTGGGCACAACAATAAAGAACTTTAATTCAACCTCTATTTAAGTACATATTTGAAAGAGTTGTACGTTGATTTTAAAAATACATTTTTTTTTTCAATGAATGATCAGATTTCCTATACTTAAGAGGGATGTCATCCAAAATGTCGTGTAACACACACGACACATCTCCTCATTTAATTAATTAATTTCATTACAATCAATAATAAATTATAACTTTTATACTTTATTCCAGTTTTTATTTTGAAGCCACAAAGGGACTAAATCGGATCAAATTAAACTAAGGTCCAATAAGTTAATCTGGACCTGATGAACTCTTGATATGTGGAGATAACTTATTGACCTCATTATATTCCACTAAAATAATGAGATTGCACTCTCAAACTAACTAAAATTACTGAAATTATATATGAATAATTATTATATCCTCTGACTTATTGTTCTTACGTATTATCTCATAGAGCAAGCCTAGCATACGATACAAGTTGAAATCACCAAAAGCTTTTTTCCAAATATACATATCCTCAAAATCTTATTCTCTATCTGAAAGTCTCTTATGATAACATCACAATATTAATTCAATAATTAATATCGAACTATTGAGATCAGATTTTACTGTCCAATAGAAAATTCTTGAGTTCATGATCGTGCATTTTAAATAGGTTACGAATGGCATATGGTGAATGCATGTTACACATTTCACTTTAATTTCAAAGGCATAGAGATATTTAATTTCGAAGGCACTGAGATATTGATCAATTATTTGATCTCACCAATGGATACTTCAAAGAACTTCAAGAAGTAATTAAACATCATTATCCGCTCATAATTAAAGTCATATGTACGACATTCAAGTGAAATTAAATTTATGTTGTCAATTTCACAAATTATATTTCATGTGGTAAAGTCCGGCACATCACAAAATGTATGAACAATCTTACTACCAAAGTCGGAGATAAACTTATAATAAAATTGGGAAGATTTTTAAAAAAAAATGAAGTGTACGTCATTATTTATAGATCATGGGGATAATAAAACTTAGATCGAATTATAAATCGAATATTTCCCTACTTAACAACTTAAACACTCAATTTATAATATCAAATCGATTTATAAACCTGTTGTCAATTTTAGATTCCGCAAGTGTACCAATTGTAACAAGTAATATAGTAAATCAACAAGTATATGAATATTATTCTCACGAGGACTATTATCTAACTGTTGATTAAATTATTTGTAACTTTAATTCGATTGAAAAGAAATAGAAATAGTTTTTATTTATTTATTTATTTAAATGTACTAAAACAATGAAAGCGACCTTTTTTATATGATGATTTAAGTGTTAGGATTTATGAGTTCAACATAATTATCCCCTTAATCTCAATTGCCAAATTCTATAACAATTGATTATGTTTATCCGATCGAATTATTCTAACATATTCAATTTAATTCTCTCAAGTTCAAATTGATTATATTTAATTAAATTAATTCCATATTTCTATATGAATCTGGATACACTTTAGTTAAACGCATTAAATATCTAAAAATCCATGTAACGACCGCATAAACTAGAAAATATATATTTACACTTTTATATTAGTTCTCAATTTTTACTACGTGGACTAAACAAATAATCTGCATCTCTACGTAATTATTGTTCACAAAATCAATGAATTAGTGGCCAATTAATTGAAGCATTAAGAATGGAAGTAAAAACAATTGACAAAATCAATTGAATGTTTAATTTTTTTTAAATTAAAATTACGGTTCAAAACTAGGTTACAATATTTCATCATAACTAAATAATTAGAGCCTATTTGAATACCATTTTGGTAGAAAAAAGTTTTGAACAGTGATTTTTAGGATAATGTGTGGTTAAAAAATTGTTATACGTGTAGAATATTTTATTGTATGAATGTTTCGTTGTAAATGATCATATAACAAACCATAAAATAAATTAAAGAGTATCAAACATACACTTATTTACACATCATGTGAGAATAAAAATAAAAGAACGAATTAAAGCGCATCACCAAGCTTTAAGGAAAAAAGGGTAAAAAAATGAAGATCTTGTACCAAGGATTCACTTCTTCTTGTGAAATCATTGAAACTCTAACTTCTTGATTGATTTCATGATTTTTCTTCTTCTTTTGACTTGAATAATATATGTACAACGAATTCCCTGACCTTCGACTTGAATGTATGTGTTTAATGAAACTCTACAAGTCCCCATTTAATTGTTGGACTAAAGTAAGTATTTTTAGAATAAGATTGAGGCAAAATCCTTGTTTTATTTGATTTCCACAAAAGAGTTCAAATTAATTTCTATGAAATAGTTTAAATCAGTGTTCTAAAATGAGCCAAAATGCGCCGCCTAGGCGCCATGCACGTTGAAAACAGGTTGAATTTGTGATATGCGCGTAAAAATGCGGTCAAAATTTTTTGTTGATCGCCTAGGCGGAGCAGTGCGCCAGTAGGTGCGATTAAACGGTTCAAACTGGATTAAACCCACGTTAGCAAACCCAAATTGGGCTTTGTTTTTTTTCCTGTGTTGCTTTCCTTTTTTTTTTTTGTCATTTGTTTTAACATTGAGCTGGCCCGTTTAATTCATTCCTTTTTTTAATTACATTGGGCCATTTGTCTGGCCCAGTCCTTAATAGATAACATTATTAACAAGGGAAAAATTCATAAATAAGGTGTTTAGTTTACACTAATTCAAAAATCATGTTTATAATTTGAAAATTCAAAAATTAGGTTTTTTTTTT